TGATGCCTCTGAATTGTGGTGCTGGGAAAGAATACTATGGCATAGTGCCTGAGGCATCTGAATGTTAACCAGACGGCTAGTGATTCAAACCCACCAGCCGCTCCTCAGTAGGAAGACTGGACAATCTACTTCCATAGAGATACTGCCTCAGAAACCCAAGGAAGGGTCGCTGTGAGTCAGAATCAACTTAATGGCAGTGAGTTTTTTTTTTTTTTTTTTGGTCTGCCAGGAGATTGAACAAATCTGTCTTGGAAGAAGTATAGATGAAATGCTCCTTAGAAGCATGTATGGCCAGATTTTGTCTCAGGTACTTTGGTCATGTTCTCAAAAGGAACCAGTTCTGGAAGGAGGATACCATGGTTGGTAAAGCAAGGAAAGGGTCAGTGAAAAAGGGGAAGACCCTCAACAAAATAGACTGACACGTTAGGTAGAAAGATGAGCTGAAGCATAGCAAGGATTGTGAGAATGGTACAGGACCAAACAGTGTTTCCTTCTGTTGTACCTAGGGTCACTATGAGTTGGACTTGATGACATCTAGCAACAATTTGCTTTCTGTATCTATGGATTTGCTATTCTGGACATTTGTCATAAATGGAATCATATAAGTGGACTTTTTTTGTCTGGCTTTTCACTTAGCATAATGTTTTCAAGGTTGATCCATGTTGTAGTATGCATCTGTACTTCATTTCTTTTTATGGGTGAATAATATTCCATTTCATGGATATACCACATTTTGTTTATCTATTTATCAGTTAGTGGACATTTGTGTTGTTTTTACATTTTGGCTATTGTGAATGGCTACATGCCATTCTCTCTTTGCCTCAGCATCACTTGCAAACTTAAGCTAAGATTCATCTGAGTGTCCCATCAACTCTTACCTTCCCTGACTCAGCCCAGTCCAGAGTCCTTCCCTTCCTCTGAATTCCTTCATCACTTCTATAGCAGATGTAGCACTGCTGTTGTTGTTGTTACGTGCTGTCGAGTCAGACCCGACTCATAGCAACCCCTCCTTGGGTTTCCGAGGCAGTATCACTATGGAAGTAGATTGCCCAACTTTCCTTCCTAGAAGTGGCTAGTGGGTTTGAACCGCCAGCCTTCTGGTTAGCCATCAGGTGCCTTAGGTGCTATGCTACTAGAGCTCCTAAAAGAGATGGCAGGCTCAGGTAGCCGCTGATGGGTTTGAGCCGCCAACCTTAGGTGCTGCAGGTGACTGCCTTAGGCCTGAGGCCATGCCGTAGGGCTGCAGCACTGTTAGCACAGCAGAATCCAGCTCACAGTGTATTTAGGCTGACTGTTTTATTTTCTTTAGTTGCTAACATTTAAAAATTAAAGAAAACATTCACTATACAGTCATACTTGCCATACCCGCAATAATGTGAATATTGCAATAAAGTAGGTCAGATGAATTTTTTGATTATCTAGTGCATATAAAAGTTATGTTTATACTGTACTATAGCCTATTAACAACAACAACATAGCCTATTAAGTGTGCAACAGTATTATGAAAAAGTTTAAAATACTGTGAGAATTACCAAATTGTGACACACAGATCTGAAGTGAGCATGTACTGCTGGGAAAATGGCACTGAAAGACTTGCTTGACACAGGTTTGCCACATACCTTCAATGTGTAAAAAACACAGTATCTGTGAAGCAGAATAAAACGATATATGCCCATAGCCCAGATTTTAGTTCCTTTTAAATTTTGGAAGAATTGGTAACATCATCTCTTGCCTAGGTTATTGCAATACTCACTTAATTTGTCTCACTGCTTCTACCTTTGTCTCTTACAACCTACCAAAGTGAGATCAAGTCTCTTCTCTGCTCATAACCTTCCAATTGTTTCTCACTTCTCTCAGAGTAAGAGCCAAGGCCCAATCGATGGTCCATGAGGTGCTATGCACTGGTCCTATTACCTCTCTATTGCCTACCACTCTCTAGCTCGTCCCCTCACTAGTCTCTGCCTGTCTTCTTTAAGTTGCTTGGACAGTTCAGGCAGACTCCTCCTTTAGGCCTTTGCACTGCATATTCGCTCTACCCACCAAAGAACTCAAACATTCACTCTTTCAACTCCCATGCTCAGATCTCACTTTCTGAAAGAGTCCTACCCTGACCACAGTATTTAAAACTGCAAGCCCACCTCTCAAGAGCACTCTGGATTCTCCTAATTTGACCTGTTTTTTTTTTTTTTTTTTTTCTAAAGAGCCCTGATAGTGTAGTGCCTAAGGCACCTGACTGCTTACCAGAAGGCTGGCGGTTCAAACCCACCAGCTGCTCCTTGGAAGGATGGTTTGGCAATCTACTTCCATAGTGATACCGTCTCGGAAACCCAAGGAGGGGTCACTATGAGTCAGGTCTGACTCGAAAGCACGTAACAACAACAACAACAACAGAGTATAAGAAGTCTTTGGGCGGCAATGGAGTGCTAACTGAAAGTTTGGCAGTATGGACCCACCTAGAGACACCTTGAAAGTAAGGCCCGGAGATGTGCTTCCAAAAGATCACAGGCCTGAAAACCCTATAAAGACAGTTCTACTCTGCATACAAAGTTGTTATGAGTCAGAGTTGACTCAACGGCACTAAGAACAACAACTTTATTAAATATACTTTATTTACTTGTTAGTGTTGGATTATTTGTTTCCTACCATTAAACTGTAAATGCCACAACAAGGCCTTTTGTCCTTTTGTTGAATAATTTATCCCCAGTGCCCCAAAGACAGTATGGCACGTAGGAAGGCACTAATGAATATTGGTGGAATGAATGAACACTGAGCACTAAAAAGGGGCTGCTCCTTTAGATGGGTCATGGACTTAACAGTTTCTCCCAGAACTACCTGGCCCAGTTCATTCCCTAACCCATCTGGTCTCTGGAGACTGAGTTTGTCACTCCTCTTCTTTACCTGTCTCTTGTTATTTATCTCCTAGTATTACATCAGTCTTTCCATTGGTATAATATTAAAAAAAGTCATAATTATAGTCAGTGGAAATCACAACCTACTTTTCTCTTTTTCTTCTCCAGGGGCCATCCCTACGTACACAGTAGAAGGGCAAAAAAACAAATAATTATGGACTAAAGAGTTCTTTTGGCATTTCTGTCAAATGAATTTCCTCCCTACTCTATCCTCTAAATGCTTCCACTGCCATTTGTTAACACTATCTAGGAAAGCCCTTCGTTCTCTCTCCTCTGGTACCTTCCAGATATACCACAATGAATGCCATCCATTCTGATGACTTTGATAATCACCAAATGACAACTCTGCATTGCTGGCCATCCAGCTTTAGACCAAAATCTTTAAGGGCCTATTTTGAATGTGTAGACATCAGAGCTGCCCAGTCCCTTGTTCTCAATCGGCCTAAACAGAACTGTTACCCACCCCCCCCCACCTTAAAGTGCCTGTTTTGGTTTGGTAGAGATCAAAATGTTTTCTTTATAGACGAATATATGTATATCGCCTGAAACATTTCCCCCTTTGCTTAAGTTGCGCAAAACCTAATTGAAGCATCACATTTGTTGGGTAAACATAAGAGCTGATCGATTCCAGGAGCTGAAACTCCTTGGGCTTCCTTGTTTGGATTCTGTAAGTTTTAACCTTCAATAATTCAGCTAAAGCTGAATCTTAAGTTATCAGGCACCTTGATTTCTTTCACGAGTAGATAGGAAGCTGAATCTTTTTCTTTAATCAAATTTTCTCCACGAAGTTCTTCCCTTTTTCACATTATCAGAAACTTAGCTACCCTCCCTCCCAAATAGTAAATGCACAATGATGGACATGTAGGGGAAAGCTCAGTTAATGTTGTTGTTGTTGTTATGCGCCATCTAGTCAGTTAATGTGTTGTTGTTGTTAAATGCCATCGAGTCGTTTCCGACTCATAGCGACCCCATGCACAGCAGAACGAAACACTGCCCGATCCCGCACCAGCCCCACAATCCCTGCTATACTTGAGCCCATCATCGCAGCCACCGTGTCAATCCATCTCGTTGAAGGCCTTCCCCTCTTTCATCGACCCTCCACCCTACCAAGCATGACATCCTTCTCCAGGGAATGGTTCCCTTCTTACAACATGACCAAAATAGGTGAGACGAAGTCTGGCCATTCTTGCTTCCAAGGAGCATTCTGGATGCACTTCCTCCAGGACAGATCTGTTAGTTCTTTTAGCAGTCCACGGTACTTTCAGCATTCTTCGCCAGCACCACAACTCAAAAGCATCCGCTCTTCTTCGGTCTTCCTTATTCATTGTCCAGCTCTCACATGCATACAAGGCGATTGGAAATATCATGGCTTGTGTCAGGTGCACCTTAGTCCTCAAGGAGATATCCTTGCTCCTCAGCACTTGATATAGTTCCTTCGCAGTTGACTTTCCCAATGCTACACATCATCTAATGTCCTGACTGCTGCTTCCATTGGCATCGATTGTACAGTTAATGTAGCCTACTCTTTTTGTAATGATCTGGGACTGCTTATGAGCACAGACATGTCTGGCAGGCTGGGCAGAATACATGGGCCCAGAAAGGATGCTAGAAGAACTCCTACCTGTTTTATATTCTGGATTAGGCTCTTCCCTAGCCCCAAATAGTTAAGTCCATATTGCTTGGAAAGAAAGGAAAACAGAAACTGGGGGAAATGGAGCTGGGAAGAAACACAAGAGCACATCTTTGGACAACTTTTCAAGAAAAGGTGATGTAAGTCAAGAGCGTTGAAGACTGGCAATTCTATCTCTAAATCCTCCCAGAGGTAGGTAGCAGTTTTTGTGTTTCCAAATAAATGACGAATGAAACTTAACACACAGTAATACCATACTTCTAAATTCACTGTTATTTCATAGTGATATATGAAATAACATAGTATATTCATGATTATGCTTGAAATTTGAGATCATATTCAAATACCTTAAATAACAGTAATAATAGAAAACTCCATCATTTGGTGTATCTCAAACTCTACTATATTCAGAAGCATTGCATTTATTCAGCTGTACCGTGTGTGAACAAACAACCAGTTACCTTTTCTTTGGAGGACAAGCAAAAATGCTGATCAATTTACCAGTGGATCTTCATCAGCTGTGATTATGGAAGCTCTTTCTTCTTAATTCAGCTCAGATCTACCAAGAAAGAAAAGGGGCAAGGGGATAAAACAGTGGATAAAGCCAATCAAAAGCACACTATTTCATTAGTTGCCAGATGTTCTAAAATCATCATATGTGCTTTGAAATGTCAAATGTTAAAATTCAAGGCCTTTTACCAATTTTACAAAAAATGCAGTTCAGTTTGTTTTTGTTTTAGGAATGAACTTAACTGGCTATATTTACAGTAAACTAATAAGAAATGACTATTTAATATGTACACAGAGCCAGCCTCCTGGGGCTTAAAATCATTGTGTGTGATTTGCTGCTAATGAGTTTTCACTTAATTTTTTTAAATGGCTATTCAGAAAGGCTGCTCCCATGAAACCTGTCAGAATCACAGACAAAAACAGCACACACACACTAAATGAGATTATTATTTGGAGAGCTCACTCTCTCCTTTATCATTCAGCAGTTTATAAAAGCAATTCATAATACTTCAAATAGGAAACAAAGATGCAATTAAGCTATCTTCCTAAAAAGCACAAGGAAATTATGTGTTCCATTATCAACACAGTTGTGTGCATGTGTGTACAATATATACGTCAAGGAAAACGCAGCTACCCTTCAAACTAATTTGGGGAGGAGTGGTGAGTTAAGAAGTCATGGGATTAAAGACTAACAAACTAAAGTTAGAAATTAAGCTGGTTTTCAAATTTGACACGTGGCAGAATAGAAAGAACGGCAAATACGGGCAATGACACAGCTACAGGGCATATGCTGTCAAGTATAAAGCACAAGTCAGGTTGATTTCATATGAAAAATCTGCTACTCAACACTTCTCCTATACTCCTCAATGGCTAGACACCAGGTCAGATGGTGAGAATACTGCTTGGCTCAATTTTCACATACTCTAAAATGGTAAACCAAATATTTCTATTTTGAGATCCTCAGATGACAATAAAGCATCTCTGAAAGACAGTAGCTGAAAATCTATGCCAAATTTTGAGCATTTATTCATAATTATCTTTATTGGCATTTTAAATTATTCCTGGATCATATCCTTCCTTTCTCCACTTCTTAAACAGTTTGTTTAAAATCATTTCTATAATCTTTATAAGCCAGATGTTTCTCTTCCCCAGGTTTCTAATTCCTTCTGAGTGTTCTAGCTTTTTAAAAAACCTCTCTGATTTCCATTTTAGTGTTCCTTTTCTACCTTATTTCCAACAAAAGCAGCTATCTTGCTTAACATGTCTGTCCTAAAGCCACTCCTCGGAAGGAAGGTTGGGCAATCTACTTCCGTAGTGATACCACCTCAGAAACCCAAGGAAAAGTCGCTATGAGTCGAGCAACTCAGCACCTAACAATAATAACTACACAAACTGAAATTCATCTCTTTACATTCTAAACACTTTACAGCTACGGAAGAATGCTGAAAGCAAGCTACATATTATCATGATAGAGACAGTTAATAAAAGATGCTTTGTTAGAGATAACGTTTACTTCCCTGGAGGTGATCCCTTTAGAGTATACCAGAGGTGGAGATGGAACAACACTGGCATCAGATTAGACTCAGTGCTTGATCTTATTTCACTAGGTCAAGCCATTTTTTCAATTTTCCATTAGGGCACTCCAGCTATTTCTCCAAAGCGTCCAAGAAAGTCATCAGATTTGCGATCCTATGAAATCTCCCAAAGATAGTGTTTGACTTTATTAGCCTGTATACCTTAAAAACACTTTACAGGAAACCAGATTCTTAGAGAAAAATGGTATTGGCAGTTACTAAAAATAAGTACTTAAAAATAGTTAACTTCTCTATTTAAAGTAGGAGTCAGGAAGCATTCTTTAGTAGGAAAAATAAACCTCACAACTATCATATGCTTGTATATATTCTCTCATTTGATCTTCACAATAACCCAGTGCTCAAAAGAGCTGTTAATATGATTTCCATTTTACTAGTAAGGAAACAGACAGAGAGGTGACAATTTGCCCATAATTACCCAGGAAATAAATGGTTTGAAACTGAAACTAGAATCCAAGGCTTTGATACTGTTTAGTTCCCTTTTTAGTATACCAAACTGCCTAAATAGCAACTTAATTTTGTTCTGCAAAGAAATAGTTGAAAAGGTAGACATGGAAAAAATTTTCTAAAAATAGAACTATAAATCTAGATACCTTTTATTCATTCAACATCTACTATGCAACAAACATTCGATATCTATCTATCTATTTTTTATTTATTTATTTATTTATTATTTATTTTTTATCTATCTATCTATCTATCTATCTATCTATCTATTTAAATAACGGCCAGTTGGGGATGGGAGAAGAAAACAAGAACAAACACAGGACAGAACTTCAGTGTTCTCCAATGACTGAGAAGCATAAATTTATCTACTCCTTTATTTTGAGGGCATAGCAGTAGAGGAGATGTAAATGCCTTTCCGAGGAGCTACCCAATACTTACTGACCCTTTTTTTTGATTACTAATTCTCAGACTCCCTGGTGGCTCAAACCATTAAGTGTTCAATTACCTGTCAAAATATTGAGGCTGAACACTCCCCAGAAATGCTGCAGAAGACAGGCCTGGTCATCTGGTTCCAAAAGGTCAAAACCTTGAGAACTCTACAAAGCAGTTCTATTCTGTACATGTGGGATAACCATGAGTTACAACTGCCTTGACAGCAAAGAACAACAATATGTAATTCTCAAATCCATCCCAATCATATTTCTACTATGGGGCTCCAAATCCCTTCCGCTGTTGCACAAAGCTAGACACATGACCCAAGCCAAGACATTCAATTTGTTCTTTAGGAAGTAGAAATCGAGAAGAAAAAAGTCTAGTTCAGTTTGGGCTGCAAGCTACCACCATAAGCTCTCAATTTAGAGGAAAAAGCCAATCAGCAAAGAGAGAAGAATCAACTTGCTGCTCAGAGTGAAACTGACCCAAGCAGCTTTGTAGACCATAGAATGGGAACAGTTTCTGCTTGGGGCGGGGTGGGGTGGGGGGGTGGTCCTGGGCTTTCTTGCTCCAGGAATAGTCCTCCAGAGGCCCAAAGCACTTCTCTTGGGTTCTAAGAATTCTCTTAATATTTAGGACAAATGACCATCTCTTTTGAGCTTAAATTCTTTTGATTTGTGAAAACTACAACAAAAGTAATCTTGCCAGAGACAGTAAAAGCTTTAGTGCTAAGAAACAAAAGGGCAAATACCACCAGAATTTGTTACAAAACAAGATCCTGTGACATCCCCAAGAGTTCAAAAATATCCTCTCTCCTACCACTTCAAAAAGAGAAACATCCACAGTGTTACACGGCCAGTGTTACGTCAGTTTTTACAGGGAATATAGCTTATTGTCTAGGAATAACATCTCTATGCCCTTTTAAGACCGAGAGCCTTATTGCAATTTAAGGCATAATCTACAACCCCCTTATTATATACTCAGTGAATCCGTCAAAATCAAGAAAAAACCTATTAACCATGATAGAAGAAACACGCTAAATTGAGTTGATCTTGTTTTGAAGCACAGAAGTATAAACTTTCTTTTTATTCCCTAAACTTTCTTAAACTCTGGACAAAATCACCCAGTTTTAATGTAAGGCTGGCACCCTAGGTGCTGGAGAGCATGGGAAGGAAGGGAAAGGGCTACAGAGGTGGGCTCTCTCCAAGGAGCATGACATATATTTTGACTTGATTTATATATTTTGAACTTTCTAGCCTTTCACCTTCAATGCAAACAGTAAGCTAACAGATCTAAAATCGTCTACTTTTTCATTTGTTTGTCTTCCATAGTGACCTTGAGAATAATATGAATGTGTTGCTAATATCATAAGGCAGTATGATTCATATAAAATTCAAAATTCTCAGTTTCTCTTGGAAAATCCAAAAATCTGACCATACGGCCGGCTCTCCTGAATATTGGTAACTGGTTGAATGCTGTGTTGTGGGCTGCCAACTGTCACTGGGTCTGTACATTCATTCCAAAGTCCCTACCTGGCTGTATCACTTATTTTCCTTCCAGGCCTATCTCCTACAGGCAGCTATGCCTGTGACCCCAAGCCTATACTGCATTCCCAGCTTCTGCTCTCAAATGAAAAAGCGTAATCAAAAATTCAAAAAGCAGGTTATATGTCAACTCTAGGCATATTCTCCAGAAATATGAATTAACATAGTCTCTACTTAGTTTACTAGCTCTTATCTGATGCCAGTTCCACCTTGCTATCACCGACGGCATTCTTTCTGGCAAAGCAAAGTTAATAATGAAACCCTGTATTCCACACAACCTGTCTTTTAGTGGTCCAAGTAGGTATCCCCCTCTTCAAATGTCAGCCAGAGTTTCCACACCTACAGAGCTACAGTGACTGCTCTCAGAGTCACTTCACTGAACACAAACAAGCCTTTTGAAAACAGACCTTAAAGAGGGATCCAAGACCAAGTACTAGGAAAACCAAAACCAAACCCAACCCATTGCTATTGAGTCAATTCCAAGTCATAGCAACCCATATTGGGTTTACAAGGCTATAAATTTTACAGAAGCAGACTGCCTCATCTTTCTCCCATACAGCAGCTGATGGGTTTGAACCACTGACCTTTTGGTTAGCAGCTAAATGCCTTAACCACTACACCACCAAAAAAAAAAAAAAAAAATCCTACACCACCAGAGCTCCTTAGGAAGGGCTTTAGCAACTCCAGTTTACATTTTAAGGGTACATTTAAATCCCTGTAGCCAGTACTAGGGTTTTCCAGACACTCTGTAGAATTCAAGTGGAGTCTTAACATGTTTTTAAAGAAGCCTCCATTTTCTGACAGCTTGTACATATCTCCACATATTAAGCCACTCTCCTCTCCCCCAATGGGTTCAATATAGCTGTCTCACACCCTTTGCCATTTGCGAGCTCCCATCTCAAATTCTGTTTCTCCCAGGCTTCAATGAAGTTACCTGGGCTCTCCCCTTTAAGCTGAAGGGAGGTCAGCAAGCCATTTTTCTACTAACTGTGGCTACAATATACTATTTCACCATTAGTCTAAAAGAGAACTAA